TGGCCTGGCCTGGTATCCGCTGTGCACCCTGTTCCGGATCGATAGGCGACGTGCAGAGATTCGCGACTAGAGCCCAGCCTTAACGAGGTCGGGCGCAACAGTCGAGGCCAATTCTGCAGCGTCAGGCTTCGGGCTCCAAAATGAGCCCGAGCCACGATTTGCCCAGTCAATGCAGGCCCGGTGGCGGGCATCGATCGCCTCAGCCACCGGCACTCGGGTCAACGTGGATCCCGACCTTGTCTGCATGTCTGTCTGTCTGTGTGTATGTTTGTGTCTGGCTTGCTCGGTCTGTGTCGAGCCGTGTGCCTTGGCCAGGCGAACGGTCAGCACGAGGAGGCGCAGAGGCGAAAGGCATGCGGCGGCGTGTGCGCGCGCGGTGTGCGCGCGCGTGCTTGCAGACAGAAGGTGACAGCTTTTGACTGCCCGCGGCCCTTGTCGATCGATGGGACGAGACGAAGGCCTACGGATTCCTGAGGCGAGCACCAGTAGAAAAGGGGACGAGTGAGCGAAATGCACACCAGCTTGCCCTGTCCAGCAGCAGCCGCGCGGCCTGTCTGCCGCCAGCCTGTTCGCGGGCGGCGTATGGCAGGTGCGGGGTCCCTCTGTCTCCCGACGCAAGCACGCACAGCCCAGCCCAGCCCAGCTCGGGCTGGGCTCACGCATTGTCTGAACTGCTCGTCGGATCGGGAGGCCCAAGTAGGAGAGTGGCCATTGGGTGGGCCGCGAGGGGAGGTGGAGGCGAACTGGAGCTGCGTGACCCGATGGGCGCCTGCGCTTCTGGTGACCTAACAAGGCCAGTTTCTCCCCTTTCACCCCGTAACTGTGACAAAGGCGGGCAAAGCGCCGCCCACACACCCCAGGCTACTGGCTCTCCGCAGAGGGAAGACAGGCACAAAAGACACACACACACACATACACGGCACAAAGCGTAATACAGCTTGTGTCTGCCAGGAGGGACGAGGCGGAATCCAGTTGGTGCCGGTTAGATAATGGGCAATTCGACGAGACGAGGCAGCCCGACATCGAGGCTCGCTCGGTTGCCGATCTTGTGTCCGCGTCGGTTGGTCCGGTCCGGCCCGGACTGACACAAGGCCGCCTTCACACCCTCATTTTGTGCTTATTTTTGTTCGCTCTTCTGCCTCCGGACGCGCCCCCCCCCTTTTTCCTGCTGCGTTCTGTCCATTGCCAGCTCACCAGCGCGCATCCTCCTCTCTCACTGCCTCCTTTAAAACTGCCCTTCTGCACTCTCGCCGGCCAAATCAGAGCCAGATCGGCCTCCTCGTCCTCCTCGACCGTCCCGCCCGACTCGACCGTCTCGGCCGTATCGACCGCCTCTCGACCAACTCGACCGACTCGACTGGCTCGACCGCCTCGACCGACTCGGCTGTATCGATCGCCTCGGCCGCTTTGTCTCTTGACCTCCTCCGCTCGGACGAGCTGCACTGCTGACTCTCATCTGCACGTCTCTCGGTGTTCGTCTTGAGCGTGCACGACTGCACTCACACAAGCACGCACGCACGCACGCACTCACGCCGCTTGCTCGTTAGCTCGCGCAGCTCGGCTCGGTCGTCGGGCCGCCAGCCTGCTTTGCCCACTCGGTGCGACGAAGCATGTCGACGGTGATCGCCAGCCAGGCGGACTACAGCGCTGGGCCGCCGGGCGTCGGAGAGGCGCCGAGGCTGCTGACCCAACTGGAGGGCGCAAATGCGGTGCCCGAAGGTGAACCGGTCCACTTGGAGATCAGAGTGGCTCCCAGCGATGTTCACGTGGAATGGGTCAAGGACGGACGCCAGTTGAGCGCCGGTAAGCCGCAACCCTCGTCTCCGGACAACCAACTAGGGACACACCTACACAAACTGCCTGACGAAGAGGAATATCCGCATTCACGGCGTGTGCTGCAAGCCACGCTTGCCTTTGTACCGCCCTTGAACGAGCTTTGACAACTTTAGCCAACATATGCATTGTAGATGAATCTCTCGACATAGCATTGTTAGGGGGACTTTCATTTCGTATGAAAGTGAGTGAAGAAGAGATTCGTTGGTCGATCTCACGAGATGAGGACGGATGAATCACGTTTGGCTTTTATACGACCTTCCGGTTGACGCAGTCCACGAGACTTCACCCGAAACGAGGGAGATCGACCAACGAATCTCTTCTTCATGCACTTTCATACCGAATGAACGTCCCCCCAACTAAAATATGCAGCAAAACTCTAACAAGTGGATATGATTTACTTCTCCTCCTCCTCCTCCTCAGATAAACCGTATAGTCTTGCATGTTTGCAAGTAATACCTTGGCTACCGCTTACTAAACTGAAAATGCCCCTCATCGGTAGCCCTCACCTTTGTGCTATTTTTTTGTCATATTCTGTACATAAAGTAAAATAATTAACCTCGAAGAGATCGATAAAATGTTTCCTAGCTTGCCTGAGTTATCTACTGAAACGTTTGCTTTGGTAGTGAATACTTTTATTCCGATAGTTGAGTTGTCATGGAACC